TTTTTTTTTTTTTTTTTCTGGGTAATTGAGTTGTTATCGTGTGGTTGAAGCTTCAGAATTTTGAAATGAACGATTCTTATTTTTCACTTTCGGACTCGTCGATAATTTCGTATATGATGCAGTTAATTTGAGAAGTTTTTAAGGTAATTTTCGCCTTTGGGCTCTTTTATGCAAGTTATGGAGTATAGAAGTAGAAGTTATTTGTAGCTCTGAAGTGGTTGTAACTTGTAAGTAAGCTGAACTTGAGCATTGACTATGGAAATCCAAGTTATTACGGAAAGTGTTCATGTTTGAAGCCAGTAAGGCAATCATCATGCTGGATTTGCAGGTTGTGCTGTATATGGGAGTCCATAAAGATTAATGTTATGAACTTGACCTGTGTGAGTCTTGCAGTCAGTGGAGTGGAAATCAGTTTGCTGCTCAAGTATTCGGATTCGGTCTTGATGAATCACACATCAAAATCATCATCAACATCAATATACCCAGTATAAACATCAACATTTAAAACTTTACTACATAAACATAAACTTTACTCAGCGGAAGCATTTAAAACATTAAAATCATGAACGTTTAAACGTTTGACCACCCTCGCTATCGCTCCATTGCCAGCTCGCCAAAACCTGGGAGTGGAAAACAAAAGAGGTGAGCATTTCCACTTACTCCGTGAAGGATCCTTCTAAGGTACCATCTTAACCAACTACCATGCATGAAATCGTTATGTATACTTAACATAATCATGAGCTCTCGACGAGGTGAGCATTTCCACAAACAAAAGTACTAGTTCAAAAATCCAATCTAGAAATCAAAACAATTTAAATAGAAAAAGACATTTATTTCGGTTCCAAAAGTACTTTTGTTTGCATGAGATATTGTTTTATTTCATTTTCGCATTGATTGGATTATGGGATTTTGGATAATATATATATTTTTTTTTCTATGGATTATGGTTATTGTTTAAATGTTCTACGTAAACATGCATGTTATGTCGTTATGTTAACTAGATAGCGATCATCCGAGCCACGCAAACCGTGCTAGGATCGGGTTGTCCCACATCCAGAAAAATCCGTGAGTTTCAGCGGTACGGCTATGACTCTCAGAAAACAGTCAGAGCGAACGTCCATGAGATATTGGATTTATGGGAAAAGGCAAGGAAAATGCGAAGAGACAGAAAAATCGAGAAGGATGCACTATCCCACTGGGATGGCTGCAAAAAATTACTCATTGTGTTGCCGATGACATGGAAGACCGATGTCAATAGACTCTATATAAAGCTCCTGATAGAAGGTATGAGAGATAGAAACAGGAAGAAGGAAGATGTGGTCAACTTTTATGATCTAGTTCTAAGAGTAGGAAACTTGTGGGGGAAGTTCTACTTTATTTATCCTTCTTGATTATCTATGTTTGAATGAAGTTAAGTAGCTTGCATAGTACCCATGTTTATACAATGTTCCAACATTCGAGCAAGTCGTTTTGTTGCAGTACCAAAGTTCACGGACTATAACTCTAGAGGGTGACTAGGTGCTAGGGTTAGAGGGTGTAAGTGATTATATGTAACCTTCGTTGGTGCACTCTTCGAACGGTTGTCCGTCGATACGACTGTACGGAGCCTAATGAAAGATTGTCTTCCTTCAACCTAATGAAAGGTACTCTCATCAAGCCTAATTGGCCGTGCCATCTGCGAGAGACATTGTTCTCCCACCACCATAAAAGTGGTATAAGGAGTTTGATGAGTGGTGGGAGTGTGACAAGAATGTAATCACCTGCATGCAAAGACTCTAGTGTTTAGTTATCTAATAGGGTTGTAGTAGCAATAAAGTCTTTCGACTTGTGGGCCACCACTCGTCGAGAGCTCATGATTATGTTAAATATACATAACAATTTCATGCATGGTAGTTGGTTAGGATGGTAACTTAGAAGGATCCTTCACGGAGTAAGTGGAAATGCTCACCCCTTTTGTTTTACACACCCAGGTTTTGGCGAACTGGCAATGGAGCGATGGCGAGGGTGGTCAAATGTTTAAACGTTCATAATTTCAATGTTTTAAATACTTCCACTGAGTAAAGTTTATGTTTATGTAGTAAGTCAAGGTTCATGTAAGACAAGATAATGTGTAAGTCCTCGAGGCAACACCATGTAATGTTTTATGCTTATGGAAAGTTCATGTTTGAAATATTAACGCCCTAAGTTCAAGTAAAGTTGCAAATGTTTTATAAAAAGAAAAATTTATTCTAGAAATTCAAGGTATGAAAAGTGGGGCGTTAATATATAATTAAAAATTTATAAAAAGAAATGTTTTATAAGTCCATCTCATTAATATATAATTAAAAGTCATATTAATATTATGGCTATTTAATACACAGGAAAATTAAATAGATGGGGACATCTCTAGAGTTTGAAATCTGCATGTGGTGTTACTTTTTACATGTCGATATTTATTTCATTTCTAACGATACTCTTCTTTAATATGAAGGTTCAGGAGGATATGGATATTTGCTAGAACCACTTTGGTGGATTGGAATGGTCACTAGTAAGTCTTTGCTTATTTTTTAAAAACAGAAATCAAATGTACTTGTTCTTTTAGTAAATTCAAACTTCAGCTTTAATTTTTTCAGTGATAATTGGGGAGTTTGCCAATTTTGTTGCTTATATGTATGCTCCTGCTGTCCTTGTGACACCCCTTGGAGCATTAAGTATAATTGTCAGGTAATCTTGATCCTCATAATCCCATTTTCCTTTATGAGCGATTTAACTTCTATTCCACAACGAAGTACCAGTATCATATGAAGGTATAAAGTATTAATATGACTATCTATTTCGGTGGCAGTGCTGTTTTAGCCCATTTCTTACTAAAAGAGAACTTGGGGAAGTTAGGTATATTGGG